ACTGTCACTATTACTATTACCACCAATTTCTATAATTAATGAACGGTTCGACCATAAAGTCAATGTTATTATCAGTTTTTTTCTACTGTATTCTGCACATGCTTTACAGTTTTTCCATTTTTTTCGGGGTAATGTTGCTAAGAGCATCATTTAAAAGGATTTTGACACCTGCATTAAAATAGCTACTATTTAAAATTTTAAACACCACCGCTTGGAGTACGCGTAATGTCGACAACGTAATAGCCTGCCGTGTGCTTGTGATTCTGCAAGAATGAAAAGCTATTTATTTATTGCTGGTTAACTCCTGGAAAGTTTCTTTCCATTTTTTTTAATAGTGTATTGTCAAAATAGATTCAATCTTCTTATTTGAGTACAGTTGTCAGTTAAATAAGCACCATTTAAAAAGTTATGAGGACTCAAAATTGGGGTAAATCTTCGATTTCTTGACTTTTTGAAAAAATTTTAATGACTTTTAAACTATAAACTTTTTGTATATACCATATATAGCATATTTATTGTATTATTAGATGTACTTTACAACGGACGTTGTAAATTAAATTTTTCAAATTTGAAAATTTATTTATAAAAATATTGTTATAGAAATTGGTACTACTTTTTGGAATAGATGACCTACATATTCGTATTAAATGACACATTTTACATAAGATAGAACAGCTGCCTGACTAAATTAATAAAAATTGATTTTAATTTATATTCAGGAATTAATTTTTTGCCACTTTGGTTATCTTTGGGCATATGTATTTCTGGTTGAAAATGCTAAAAACTTTAGTTTTTATTCCCGTATTTACGTTTTTATTATTTCCTGTTACATTATTTAAATATTCTGGGAATTTGCTGCTTTTTATATAATTGTACAGCCGTAAAGATATGGATAGTAAAGAGTTGCCTCAACATTAATTACACGAAAAACGTTTTGAGCATGCCAAATAAAAAAAAATGAGTTTGTACCAATTTGTTGTTAATACATGCTCTGTATCTGAAGTGTACTTTGGTTTATGTAATGGTTAATTTTAAGGTTCACGAAGCTGACGCCTGCCTCGTTCTTGCAAACAAATACTGCCAGGATCCGGATGCTGAAGACGCCGCCAACATTATGCGAGTTATCTCAATAAAAAACTATAGTGATGATATTAGAGTGATTATACAATTGATGCAATATCATAATAAGGTTTGTTGCTAAATTATCATCTATAGTATCTAATATGTTTGGTATCATAAGAGAATATTGAAAATATTATTATTATTTATTGTTCTATTTATTATTATTTTATTATTAGTATTAGCCTTAACTCTAGCAGCGCTTTTTTTTATCATTGTTTATTTAATTTTACATATCGACTTTATCGACCATCTCTTGTTATCATTCATAAATATCTTCATTTTGTTATTTTCAGTACCTTAGTTTTTAGCGCGTTGTCCCTTTTTTCAATTCTTTTTTTGTTCTTGGCATAAATTTGAGTTCTTATCAATAAAAGTTTAAAATTATTCATTTCAGTTTCAACGATTTCACTTTAAAATGGAATTGATAGTGGGGGTTATCTAAAGACTAATTTTTGTTGATAATCATTATATTCGCAATAAGTTAGTTAAGTTAGTGTTTTGTCTGCAATAATATATATTGTAAGAATTTTGGCAAACATGTCGACGCAATGATTTTTGGACTAAAATAATAAGCAAGCAGGAAAGGAAATTTTCTCTTATTTTTGTGTAAATACACAGATACATTAAATTTTTATTTATATTATAGCTACAGAACTCATAAATGTATTTTTCAAAAATCAGAGGTTGATTTTTTGCAATATTGTTAATTTAATATTTTGAGAAAAATTTAAATACCTACTTTGTCATCATTCTGGCTTTAAAACTTTTCGTGGATTTTCTCGTTAGTCGTCCCTATCCAACGCCTTCCTCCGCCAAGCACGTATTTTCATATTTCTCATGTCTTCATAGATGTTATCAAGGAACCCTGTTCTAGGTCATTCTCTTCTTCTCTGACTAATTGGTCTCTCAAGAAGTGTTTTTTTAGCTGGATCATTTTGTTCCATCTGCATTACATGTCCTATCTACCTCAAACGTTTTACCTTAATATGTTTTACCAATCAGGTTCCTGGTATAATCTATAAAGTTCGACGTTGTACCGTCATTTCTATCACAAATAGCATCTGTTGGCTGTGCAAATTTTGTGGTTCAAGGTCTCCTTAATTCTTTTCTGTTGATGTTAACTTTTTTTATAATGCTTTTAATGTTTTCTCTTTGTTGAGGTTTTCTATAAATTTTGAGTTCCTTATTCAAGTGGTTTAGTTTTTTTTCTTTTGTGTATCCTCTTTTCTTCCCTTATCTTTGTCTGGTAATTTTCTAACGTTGTTTAAGTTCCTCGGGTAAGCATCTTTCTGTAGGTTTCTTTTTTTCTTATGTTGCCATCTTGCATTCATCATCAAACGAATGATTTTTACGGGCAAACATTTCTGTTCCTATTTCATCTTTCGCTGCTGCTTCAATATTTTCCTTTATTCTGGTCCGGTAGGAGTCTATATCTGCCTGGCCTTCTTCATTTACATTTTGATTTCTTAGCCTGTTTGTGATGTTTTCCGAGTACCGTTCTGCAATTGTCACATCTCTTAGCTTGCGTTTGCTGCACATTCCAGTTTTTTTATCTATTTTATTTTACTGTTATTTGAAATTTTGGCCCTCAATGTTAAGATCACTAGGCAATGATTTGAATCTATGTTTGCTTACTTACTTACTCCGTGGCGTTACAACCCGGTTTTAGCCGACTCGACAACATGCCTCCACTGTTTTCTGTCTTTAGCAACCTCCATTCAATTCTCCAATCTATGTTTGCGCCTCTATGAATTCTACAGTATATATGGTCTGTCCCATGCCTTAAATCTATTAGGATGTGATCAATCTGACTCTTTTTTTTTCATCAGAAGAGGTCCAGGTTACCTTGTGTATATTCTTGTGTTCAAAATAGGTGCTAGGGACTGTTGTATTTAGTGCTGCTGCCAAGTTTATCAGTCGTAATCCTTTCTCAATAAATCAGTATAAGGTTGAATGTTCGAATAATTAAACTTTGATGGTATACAAGGCAACTATCGAACACAGTAATTAATTAAATCTTGCCCAAGTACTTTCGATCAATAGATCATCTTCAGGGGCATTTCGTCAGTTGTGGCCTATCTGACATAAGTAGAATGTCATACATGTAAATTTAAACATAACAATACAATACACAAAGACAAACAAACACTTTAAAATTTTTAAAAAGGAGAAGCTGCATGTTATATAGAAGCAGGAGACAGAATGGGAATGGGGCAGGAGCCCATTCTGTCTCCTGTTTCTATATAACATGTAGCTTCTCCTTTTTAAAAATTTTAAAGTGTTTGTTTGTCTTTGTGTATTGTATTGTTATGTCCAAATTTACATGTATGACATTCTACTTATGTCGGATAGGCCACAACTGACGAAATGCCCCTGAAGATGATCTATTGATCGAAAGTACTTGGGCAAGATTTAATTAATTACTGTGTTCGATAGTTGCCTTGTATACCATCAAAGTAATCCTTTTTATTGTAGGCATGAAAACTCTCTTTTGTCATATTCTTGAATTCATGTCACCTAATATTATATTAATGTCATTTCTGGATCATGTTCCATAGGCTTACTGTAGGTCTTCGAAGAACTGTTCTTTTATTACCTCTGGTTTGTTATCAGTTGGGACATGCGTATTGATCAAACTGTAATTATTAATGCATTTACATTTTTATTGCATGAAGCGCAAATAGCACATTTTTTGACTGTAGGCTTTAGAGTTCAAAATTAGGCCTTTTGTTCTTTGGTTTAGAATAGATACCATCACATCCATGTGTTGACTTTCATTGCAGCTATAACATATGGAATGAGTTCTCTTGTGAAGAGTGCCAGTGCATTTTCTGCAGTGTTAAAACATCTACTTCTTACGTGTTCAATATGTCTAGTAAATATGTAAGTGCTTCAGTTTGGTACAGGATTCGGGTATTCCATTTTTCGTTTGCAGAATCGTCGAGAGTTCTGTCCAGCTGATATTTCTTAAGAATCCGCTAGGAAACTAAGTTTCTGTAGCTGGCTGTATACCATATATCACAAAAAATTTATTTCAAATCCTTTATAAAAGATATATAATAAAATGCCCAAACGGGCTATCACAAATATATTACAAAACGTTTTCGGATTGTTAGATCCATCATCAGTGTAAACCTGAAAGTAAATAACCACTTTAATTAAAAAGAACGGTGAATTTAAAATGTTGACTAAGATTAAAGAACATTATGGTTAATACTTACGAGGTATACATGCTATGAGCCACCAAAATATATGGGTTAAAACCCTTTAAATGATATAAATTTACAGTTGCTTTACATTATATGTAGTTACAAATTATGATGTTTAAGTTACCGTTGGAATTGGTAACATGGCGACGTATGACCCTACATAGGTAAAATGGTCCTGAGAGGAAGTGTCTTCGAGGACCTGTTGATAACAACTGATCAAAATGACATTGTTGACAGGTTAGAACGGATGTTGTGTCAGAGCAGTCAGTGTAACTTACGGTAGTTGTCTAAAAATGACAGATGTTAGCATTATTTAAAATTGAAAAAATTAAAATTATAATAATGTAACAGTATCAACCATCAATGTTGTAGTCTGTAATGTGAATTAATCATATGGCTATATTGGAGATATTGAAAAAATTGGTTTTTAACAATTAATGTGGGTAAACTGGAGTTTGATGAAATGAAATTTTGTAGGATCAATAGGCAACCAACTATACATGTGTATGGATTTATTTGTTCTAAGCTAAAAAATTTTATCAAAAGGCCCTGTATGTTGTGTAACATTTGGTACCTAGAAAATGGTAAAAAAGGCACATGTAGGGAGATGGGTCCTATAAGATTTATAAATGAGGAATGTTGTAGTAAAAGTGTGTCTATATCTGTTGTTGAGCTGAAATTTAAATATGACAAGAATGTGATTGTGGTGTAAACTTAAAACTTAAGCAAGGAGGGCCCTCTATGTCAAAAAACAACATTTGGCACCTGCAAAAATAAAAGATTTTTCAAGTTACAAGTACATGAACATGAATTGCTGGTTATGTGTGAAAATTAAAGATGGTAGATTGTTTTTGTGTGTGGACACGTATCCCAGAACAACAGAAAACTGATGGCTGAAAGGTGGTTTGGTATGGTATTGTTAATACATTTCTCAAATTAAAACTCAAGGAAAAACAAAAGGCCCTTTATGTTAAAAGGAACATTTGGTGCCTAAGAAATATAAAATAATAAAGGATGAGTTTTAAATTTGAGTTTAGGTAGGTATGTGAGTTTAATAGGCTTTTGGGGTGTATTGTGAGAATATGTGAAACTGTAAGAGTAGTTATGTTTAAGTTGGATCTGTCAAATTTACTAAAGATGTGTGATGTTTAATTGTTATTGTGAACAGAAAGGTGGAAAAATTTCTTAAATTTCCGTAACATTTGCTTTTAAACAGGAAGAGGTTGTCGGCCTCTAGCCTAACTTCAACTCCAAGTTCATGGCCCTCCAATCTGGAGGGTCATGGACTCTTCTGTAAGGCTTGCCATACCTTAGTCAGTTTTGGTTCGCAATTGTTAATTTTATTTCTCAGCTATCCACTAATCCTATAGCCGGTTATTGCGTTCCCCCATCCACCATCTGGTGACGCGTCCGATGGTAGACAGATATTTTCACATGGAATTGAAATATGTTAAAGAACATAAAAGTCACAAATAAAAAAATAAGTTATAGGACCTAGAGAAGCAAAAGAAAATGATGAGTTTCTGACCCCAGATATATTACAGATGATTTATATAAAAAGTTTATCTAAGAACAGGTACATAACTTTGTACAAAATAGTGGATAAACAGAAAAAAGGGGAAAGAATAATAGTTGACTACTAGGTATCTACAGGTGGAGGAACTAGAACAAAGATACGATTATTTCGCTATGCCTAATAGAACAAAGAAATGACAGGATCAAAAAGAGAAAACTATACAAAATACGATGTTGGATAATAAAAACCAACCTATATTTGGAAACAACTAAATGTGTAAATATTCGATTAAATACATAAAAGAACTGATAACCGAAATAAAAACCAAATACATGAAGGCCA